GGGATTCCCACCGAAAGCGGTGCCCACAACGCGGTACTGACAACTGCATATGGCGGGATCTTGCGCAGTTCATATGTTGCGAAGGCCTTACGGCCGCTGCCGCCGACCCTGAATGACGACGACGACGACCACGACGACGACCACGACCACGACGGCGACGGCGACGGCGACGGCGACGGCGACGGCGACGGCGACGGCGACGGCGACGGCGACGGCGGCGGCGGCGACGACGACGACGACGACGACGACGACGACGACGACGACGACGACGACGACGACAACCGCTCTCGGGGGCCTCTTGGGAATAGTTTTGAGGCCTCTTGGGAGGCTCTTGGGGGCCGCTTGGGAGCCTCGTGGGGGCCTCTTGGGGCTTCCTGGGGGTCTCTTGGGGGCCTCTTGGGGCCTCTAGGGGGGCTTCGTAGGTGCCTCTGGGGGCCTCCTGGGAGCTTCTCAGGCCGAGGGCTCGAAATGACAGTTTGGGTCCCCACTGTGGGCTCCCTCTCGGAGCCGTCTTGGGGGCCTCTTCGGCTGTCTTGGAGGCCTCGTTGGCGTTCGGGGCCTCTTGGGTCGTTTTGGGGCTCTCTTGGAGGCCTCTTGGGCCATCTTGGGGCGGTCTTGGGGGTCTCTTGGCCTGTCTTGGAGCGTCGGGAAGCTGACAAGGCGAGAATGCCGAAATCTTGTAAACACTTATGGGCAATCGATGAGTTTTCCCCCTTGGGGCCCTTTTGGAAGTCCTCTTGGAGGCCTCTTGGGGGGTTTTGGAAACCTTTTGAGCCGTCTGGAGACTATTTTGGCGACTTGGACCGGTACTTCAGCGATTCGGGACCCTAGAGGACCGTCTTGTGGGCATCTTTGGGCACTTCTTCCGCGTCTTGAGGCTTTTCTGGAACCCCGAACCGCCGGGGGGGCAGTCTTATTTGGGTGGCGACCCTTCCCGGGGACCCCCTCCCGGGACCCCCCCAGACCCCCCCAACGTTGTCAATTTCGCTGTGGCTGGCGCGCTCGAGGAGGAGGGCCCGGTGAAAGTGGGGGGAGCAGCGACGGGCCTAGGGAAAGGGGAGGGGAGCGGCGAAGGCGGCGACGACGACGATGGCAACGACCACGACGGCGACGACGACGACGACGACGACGACGACGAGTCAAACAGAACAGCCTCTTCCACACGCCGACAGGGTCGGCTGATTTCCGGGAACCTGGATTTCGAAATCTGAGGTTGTTGCAGAATTTAGGCATGCGCGCGCGACGACGCGCTTGTATCGACTTTGTCCCATTTGTTACAAGCAATTGTTGAACAATGCAGTGATGACCGTGTATGCGCGCATCGTATGGGATGGTCGAGAGGGCGATACAAGGGGTCTAGCCGGGATTGTATGAATTCATCTTTAGAATGAACTGTGGGGCAGAGGCGTACGTAATTTGAACTATCCCACGGGTGGTGGGTGAAGCCAGGTGGGGGGTGGTAGATCCGAGCATCCATTGCAAGGAGAAACTGTTGGTGCAATGAATGTTGTGCAATATGTGCCGTGCGACTTATGTGGCGCAATCTATGTGGTGCAATTAATTTCTGTTCGCAGTGAGTTGTCCACTCCACTGCTCGCGCAAACATCCCACCCACCCACCCGCAACTTGGTTTGCAAAATCTCTTAAGACCGTGACGGTGGGTACCACATGGCACTTGGCAACAACAGCGACGCCGACGACGACAGCGACAGCGACGATGACGACGCCGCCGACAACGACTACGACGACACCGACGACGTCTCCAACGACTTCGACGACGCCGACAACGACGACGACGACGACGACGACACCGACGACGACGACGACACCGACGCCGACGACGACGACGATGACAACGACGACGACGATGACGACGACGACGACGATGACGACGCCGACGACGACGACGACGTCAACGACGACGACGACGACGACGACGACGGCGGCGACGACGACGACGCCGACGTCGACGACGACGAAGATGACAACGACGCCGACGCCGACGACGACGACGACGACGACGTCGCCAACGAAGACAACGAGGAAGGAGGGAGGACGACGACGGCGACAACGCGACAACGACGACAACGACGAGGGAGGAGGGAGGACGGCGACGACGCGAACGACGAAGAAGGAGGAAGGACGGCGACGCCGACGACGGCAACGACGAGGGAGGAGAGAAGACGACGACGACGACGACGACGACGACGACGACGACGGCGACGAAATAGGAGGGACGACGACAAGACGCCGACGACGGACGACGACGACGACGAGGGAGGAGGAGGAAGGACGACCACGGCGACAACGACGACGGAAACGACCACGACGCCAAAGAGGACGACGACGACGAACACGAGGAAAGACAGAGGACGACGTAGGCGACGACGACGACGACAACGACGCGGGAGGAGGGAGGACGGCGACGACGACGACCACGACGACGCAAGAGCGCGCGCGCACGCTTTTGTTGAACATCCGTGTTGCGAAACCTTGGGTTTTTGTATGTTTGTTGGACGCACGATTTTGAAATCCTTCCGAAACCGATGGGTTTTGAAGGTCTTCGGCATACGCGCGCGACGACGCGCGCGTCTGCACTTCGTCCCATTTTTTGCAGGGGATTCTCGCGACGGCACACGCGCAAGGGCGTTTGACAGATTTCGACATGAGCGCGCGCGAAGCCCGTTTCGTAGTATTTTGTGAAAATCTTGAAAAACCTATGGTTTTCTTAAGATTTCGCAAGAGCTCGCGCGGAAGTTTTTTTAGCAAATCAGTGTTGCGAAACCTTGTGTTTTTGTATGTTTTTTTGGAACTCGATTGCGAAATCCTTCCGGCACCGAAGGTTTTTGAAGGCTTTCGGCATGCGCGCGCGACGACGCGCGCGTGTGCAATTTCGTGAACAAGTGTTATGTTAGAGCAAACAATGTCACCGCATAGTGTTTTTTACCAGGGGACCTCAGAGGGGGGAAACCGGCCTAGCTGGGATGGTATGATTTCATATTTAGGATGGACGAGTGTGCTGAATGTATATACATATATATATATATGTTTTTTTCCACAGAGGGAAGCGTTAAGTCCGGGAGGGGGTAGAGTCTATTCTTGTTTTAGAAGAGAGAATCTATGCGAGGCAATCTACGTTATGCAATGTAGGTGGCGACGGGGCGGCGACGGCGACAACACAGCCGCCAGACCCACAATCATGCCCAGATGACGGGCGGCGACGAGGCGACGACGGGGCGGCGACGGCGACAACCAAGCCACCAGGCCGACACTCAGGCCCAGTTCCGTATCAGGGGAGAAGTGAGAACTCTATGTGCAAGCGCTGTGCTGGGAACGTGCACAGACATGTGTTTGTGCATGTTTGATATATATATATATATATATATATATATATATATACACATACATATATATACATATATACATATATATATATATATATATATTTATTTGTATATATGTGTATATATATATATATGTATGTATGTCTACAAATATAACGGGGGACGGTCTGGGGGCCGGGGGCCGGGACCCCGACCACAAATGTGTGGCCTGGAGCCCGGGCCCGCCTCGGAGGCTTAAAATCGCCCCGGGGAGCCCTCAGACAGCAATCCCGGCGGCCCCAGGCGGTCTCGAGACACCCCCAAGACGACGTCCAGGGGTCTCCGTCGACGCACGATGCGTTTAAATTGCCCCGGAGGCCCCCAAAACGCCCCAAGAGGCCTTTAAGATGCCGCCGAAGAGCGCCCCGAGAGGGGCAAAATCGTTGATTTTCAGGGTTTTTTTTCAATATTTTTTATTAACATTCTCGCTATGTCGTGTTTCCGGCGCTAAAGCACCGCCCAAGAGGCTCCCCAAACTGCTCCAAGACGGCCCACGAGGCCCCCAAGAGGGCCCCAAGACGGCCCGAGAGAGCCCCGAGACGGCCCCAGAGCCGCCCAAGACGGCGCAAGAGGGTCCCAAGAAGGCCCCAAGAGGGGCCCAAGAGAGGGAACGCGAACTGAAAACTCAAGCTCTCCGCCCCAAGATGCCCACAAGAGCCCCAAGATGCCCCCAGGAAGCCCTCAAGGGCCCCAAGGGCCCCAAGGGGCCCCCAAGAGGCCCCAAGAGGCCCCCAAGAGGCCCCAAGAGGCCCCCAAGAAGCCCCAAACAGGCTCCAAGAGGCCCCAAGACGGCACCCAAAAGGCTTCAAAACTCTTTCTAAGAGGCCCCCGAAGACATGCCAAGAAGGTCCCATGACGACTTCAAGAAGCAGTCCAGGATGCTCCGAGGAGGCCCCAAGAAGCTAGCTAGAACTTGATCGCGCGCGAAGCGCGCGCGATGGTTATAGTATACATGTATATGTATTCAGGTCATTCTACTATACATATTGAATATGCTGTTCTTACTGCATATATATATATATGTATATGTGAATGTGCGAGTTCGACCTGGAGCCAATCGAAATCGAGAAGCGGAACCCATGCTTCCCCCCCCACCTTTCTTATCACCCCTAGGGTAGTCCAGCGGCATACTACCGAGTGTCCCAGAATCCCACCGATAACTCCAGGTGGAAGTCTACACATCGTTTTCGCTGTGCTGGAAATCTTGAGCGCGGAGTGTCGGCGTCTGTGGTGAACGGCAGAACACCGGCATGACCCGGCCAAGAAGCGTTCTGCGCCGTTCGGGCGTTGCGTAATGCGGGGAGGGGGAAATAACAGGGAGGGTGAAGAATGGTGCACCTTTCGTGCACCTCAGGGGTCTTAGAGGGCCCCTTTGGGACTCAAAAACGGGCACGAAGGGTGCACGTTTCTTCTCCGCCCCCGGCGATCGCCCCCCCCCCCACCGAGCAGCGCCCAGGCCGTTCTCGGAACCCTCCGCGTGAGCGAACGAACAAGCGACCACTGCTGCGGACCACCGCTGCGGACAGGTGGGCGAGGCCGTGGCCTCTGCACTCATGGCGTGTCTGGACGCCTGCCGTGGCGCTGCTCAGTCCTGCCTGCGCCCCCCCCCCTCTGGAGGTGGTGGCCGTCGCGGTCGGCCAGGACAGCTGGGCGCTGGAGTTCGCCCTCGGGGCGGCCCGCTGGGACCGCGAGATCGCCACGGTGGCCGTGCGCGGCCACGGGGGCGCCCGGCGTCGCGCGAAAGACGCCGGCGTCGTTGGCGACTTCATTGTGGTCGTTGTGGTCGTCGCGGTCGTCGTGGTCGTCGTGGTCGTGATCGTCGTCGTCGTCGTCGTGATCGTCGTGGTCGTGGTCGTCGTCGTCGTCGTCATCGTCGTTGTCGTGGTCGTGGTCGTGGTCGTGGTCGTGGTCGTGGTTGTGGTCGTGGTGGTCGTCGTCGTCGTGGTCGTCGTCGTCGTCGTCGTCGTCGTCGTCGTCGTCGTCGTCGTTGGCCCCGAGGTCCTCCGACCCCGTCTTGAACAGTTCACGACGGACGGGTTTTGGTGATCGGACGGGGCTAAAACGATGCTAAATCCGTTTCAGAGCGTCCCGGAACGCTCTCAGAGCTTCCTGGAACGCTCGAGAAGGCCGCGGCGCCTGAGACATCCTCCAGAGCCGCCGCATCTGAGAGATTGTAGATTTATCCTCGCCCTGGCCTGGCCTTGGCCTCGTCTTAGGTGATGCCCTGTGCCCCCAGAGGCCGCTCAGGGGCTGCTCCTGGGCCGCCGAGAAGCGACTCGGGACGAAGCGCCGGCCACTGCGAGGGGTGTGGACGCCCCCGGGGGCCCACGTCACGAGAGATTTGCGGCACCGGAGGCGAGGGCTGTCCTTCTGGTCGGGGCTCAAGAGACGGGGTTCCAAGCAACCAGAGGTCAGCAAGAGCGCTGGATCTCGCAGGATCCTGCAGAGCCAGGGTTGCACTGACCCAGGTTTGAGTGCAGGATCCGGCAGCATCCCGCAGGATCTTGCAGGATCCCGCAGGATCTTGCAGGATCCTGCAGGATCTTGCAGGATCCTGCAAAGCCTGCCTAACCCGGGCTTGGATCGACCCGCATCAGTATAGATCCTCGATCTGGCGTTTCTGGTTGTCGCTGTTCGTTGTATTTTTTGAAGGGGGTTCCTGTCGCCACGGCCACGGCCGGGCCTTGGGGCGCCGGGGAAGCGCCTTTGGGACCAAGTCGTGAGCGGATTTTTTGGCAGCCGGCGCAGTCTGCTTCGCTGTTCTTTCCTCCGCTACGGCGCGGCCCGCCTCAGCGTGCTCGGCGTTCGACACGGCTTCGCGCGCCCGCGTACCAACAAGAGTATCACCGCTGGCCCATCCAGAAACGCTGCCCATGAGAGCTGACGGGGGGAGAGAGGAAGAGACACGCACAGTCACACAGTGGAGGAGGTCTGCCTGGACGGCGTGTTGGGGCCATCTCCAGGCCCGCGGGGGGAATGGGGGCGAGGAGGAAGAGAAGGAGGAGGAGAAGGAGGAGGAGGAGGAGGAGGAGGAGGAAAGAGGCAAAAAGAGCAAAACCAAGAAAAGGAGGACGAGGATGAGGAGGGCGATAACTAAGAGAGTGAGGGGGAGGATGAGGAGGAGGAGGAGGAGGAGGAGGAGGAGGAGGAGGAGGAGGAGGAGGAGGAGGAAGGGGAGGGGGAGGAGAAGAAGGAGGAGGAGGACCAGTAACCCAAGAGTCATCAACGATGTTGGAGTAAATCCTCCCTCCAAGCTCCCTCTTCTCAGGCCCCTGCAACGGTTCATTTCCATTGATGCAACTGCTTCGTAGGAAGACACCCGTTTGAAGACCCTGAAGCATGCCAAAACACTGTTCTCCGGGCTCCAACGCCACGGATCAACGTGACATTTGCGTCTTGACGATCCTGAATCGTGCCAGAACGCCATTCCTAGGACTTCAGCACAGAGAATCAATGTAACTGTTGCACCCGCATAATCCTGAACCCTTCCAAAACACAGTTTCGGGTACGTTGATGATGGGAAGCCGTGAACAAAATTTTAAGATGAATGTGCGCCGCGCTAAGGCGAGAGCCACATTTTGAAAAGGAACCGCCCTCAATCCCTGAAGCTCTTGCACATGTTTAAAGCGAATGTGCGCCGCGCTACGGCGAGAACCACATTTTGAAAATGACCCGCCCTCAATCCGTGAAACTCTTGCAACTGTTTAAAACGGATGTGCGCGGCGCTAAGGCGAGAGCCACATGTTGAAAACCACCCGCCTTCAATCCGTGAATCTCTTGCAAATGTTTAAAAAAAAAAACAGGAGCCAAACAAATGTGCGCCGCGCTACGGCGAGAGCCACATTTTGAAAACGACCCGCCCTCAATCCGTGAAACTCTTATTTTTTCTTATATATATATATAGATATAACAATCGGTGAGGAAGTCTCAGGCGAAACGCGCGGCCCATCCTAAAAACTGGCCTCGGGGTTCGACAGGTAGAAGTTATGTATAAGGAACAAGAATGGAGGAGGATGAGGAGGAGGAGGAGGATGAGGAGGAGGAGGAGGAGGAGGAGGAAGAGGAGGACGAGGGGGAGGATGAGAACGAGGGGGAGGATGAGAGCGAGGAGGAGGAGCAGGAGGAGGAGGAGGAGGGGGAGCAGGAGGATCTTGGGGTCTCTTGGAACATCTTGGGAGCCATCTTGAGCCAGCTTGGGCTAGCTTAAACCATCTTGGAGGTCATCTTGGGCTCTCTGAGGTCGCTCGAGGGGCTCTTCGTGGCCTCTCGGGGGCCTCTTGGAGCCCTCTTGGGACCTCTTGGGGCCCTCGTGGGACCCTCTTGGGGGCCTCTTGGGACCACGAACAACTCCAGGGAGGGGAGGGGAAGGGTTCCCCTCCCCGAAGGGAACATGGGGTTGTGGAAGAAAAAGAGACCCTTAGACCACCTGTCGCCCAAAGGTCTGGTGGGATTCATTCATTCCCCTTAAGGTTTTGAAGGATGTGGGCCTCTTGGTGGCCTCCTGAGTGGCTTTCGTGGCCACTCGGAGCCGTCTTGGGGCGGTCTGGGGGCCCTCTTGAGGCGCTCTCGGAAGCCTTGGGATCTCTCTTGGGGCCATATTGGAGGAGATCGACCAACGACGGGGGGAGCTGCAATTACTTCCCCCCCCTCGGGAGCCCACAAAATCGCCTCTTGGGCCCATCTTGGAGCGCTCTTGGGGGCTTTTGGGGCCGTCTTGGTGCTCTCTCGGGCCTCCCTTGGGGTCCTCTTGGCCATTTGGGGACCATCTTGAGGCCTCGGAAGGCCATCGAAGACAAAACTGCGACAAGGCCAAACTCATTGATCTTCTTTCGGTTTTTGGAGGCTGTTGGCCTCTTGGCGGTCTCCCGGGGAGGCTCCGTGGTCAGCTTGATCCGTCTTGGAGCGGTCTTGGGGCCTCTTGGGGCAACTTGGGTCCATCTTGAGCCAGGTTGGACTATCTTGAGCCATCTTGGAGGTCATCTTGGGCTCTCTGAGGCCGCTGGGGGGCCACTCGGGGGCCCCTTGGGGGACTCGGGGGCCTCTTGGAGCCCTCTTGGAGCCCTCTTGGGGCCTCTTGGGGCGCTCGTGGAACCATCTGAGGACCTCTCGGGAGCCCTGGAGGGCCTCTTGAGGCCATCTTGGGGGCGGTCGGTCAAACGAGAGGGTGTCCTCGATGTGCGTCCCCCCTCGGGGGCCACGATCCTCCTGAGGGGTGTCACAATTTGGCCCTCTCGCTGGCCGAAAAAGGAGCCTCCAACACCTCGCGAAACCTCCTTTTAAAACAACCTCAGGGAGGGGAGGGGAGGGTTCCCCTCCTCGAAGGGAAGAGGGGTTGTGGAAGAAAACAGATATCACCCTTAGACCACCTGTCGCCCAAAGGGCTGGTGGGATTCCGAGAAAGCCGCCACGCTTCTCCGAGGTCCTCGTGCCGTCTCAGAAGCTTCCTCAGAGGCCTGTCAGGATTGGCCGATTCCTTCAAGCTACCTTTTGATCAGGCCCGTCCCCTCGTTTTGCCCCCCCCCCCCCCCCCCCCCCTCCCCCACACACACACACACCCATTCCCCCTGCATGCCGCGCCCAAGGTGCCTTGGAGTTTGCGGGCGAGCACTTCCAGGGCGACAGGTCCGTGGTGATGGAGGCGGTCTGCCAGGTGGGCTGGGCCCTCAAGTGGGCGAGCCAGGAGCTGCGCGGCGATAAGGAGGTGTGCCTTGCAGCAATCGGCCAGGACTACCATGCCATGGAGTGGGTGGACGCATCGCTGCGTCAGGACCCCGAGGTCGTTGCTGCTGCGCTCTGGTGCTTCGGGGCGAGGTGCCGCGAGTTCAGCTCCGAGCCGCTGTGGAGCGAGGAGTGGCTGGCGAACGACTTCACTGTGGGGAAGGCCCGCGAGCTGGCGTGGCGGTGGGTCTCCACCGTGGAGTCGCGCTACTTCAAGCGGGCGCTGGACGCCATCTTCCCCGCCGTGGAGCAGCAGGAGGATTGGCAGACCGAGCAGAGTATCGAGGGCCGCCTCGGCCTGCTCCATCTGGCCTGTTTCCCCTCCAGCGCAGAGCCGGGCGCCGCTGCGGCGTGGTTCGCCGGCATCCAGGAGGCGCTCTGGGTCGACCAGTCCATCTGGAACGACATCGAGGTGATGGGCCTGCTCGGCCGCTTCGAAGCGAGTCTGGGCCTCCCCGACAACCACGTCCTGCTGCTCGAGGAGGGCGTCAAGCACGGGTCGAAGTTCCCTGATTTCGGGATCCCAGTGCCTTTGCACCTCAAGCGCAAGGGCAGGTGGGAGAAGGTTCCGAGGCGGGGACTGATCCACAGCCACCACTTGGGGGATCGATCTTCGTGGACATCGGTGTGCGGTGGACATGAGGCATTGATCTGTACACACATTCATATAACTATTCAGATAGGTATGCATGTCGATTTAAACATACATATATATATATATATATATATATAGATGTTGGGATTATCGGCGCAATGTTTGCACTTAGGGATTCTTACTTCTCCTTTCAGGAACTGGGCCTCACACTTGGTCTGGCGTCTATGTCGTCGCCGTCGCCGCCCCGTCGCCGCCTCGTCGCCGCCTGTCGTCTGGGCCTGAAACTTGGTCTGGCGGCTATGTCGTCGCCGTCGCCGCTACGTCGCCGCGTCGTTGCCGCTTGGCGTCTTCCCCAGACAGTGCTAGCACTGAGGGCTTTATTTTTCCTTTTCTAAAGAATTGGGTCTGAAACTTGGTATGGCGGCTAAGTCGTCGCCGTCCCGTCTCCGCCTCGTCGCCGCCGGTCCGGCGGCTACGTGGTCGCCGTCGCCGCCCCGTCGCCGCGTCGTCGCCGCCCGTCGCCTGTGCCGGATGGCCTGTCTGGCGGCTGTGTGGTAGGCGTCGCCGCCCCGTCGCCGCCTCGTTGCCGCCTCGTCGCCGCCCATCGCCACCGCTGGATTGCACCACGCAGGTTGCACGAACAAAACCGCATGCGGCGCGTTTCCTGCTCGCTCAGAACATTGGTTGCACCACACAAATTGCACAACATAGATTGCACCACTTAGGTTGCACAAAACATATATCGCAAGTGCATGCACATACCTATACGACCACCCTTCGGGTGGTAAGGAAGTTGTGGGGGAAGAGGGAGAGGGGGGGAACCAACATCTGACTCAATCGATATCACGATCGATCTCACTCAACGGGGCACCACTGGAAAACACGGGACACTTCTCGATCTCACTATCGATCTCATTATCGATATCACTCAACGGGACACCACGGGACACCACGGGACACCGCGGGACACCGCGGGACACCTGTCGATCTCACTATCGATCTCACTATCGATCTCACTATCGATCTCATTCAACGGGACCCCACAGGACACCACGGGACACCACGGGAAACCTCGGGACACCTGTCGATCTCACTATCCATCTCACTATCGATATCACTATCGATATCACTCAATGGGACACCACAGGACACCACCGGACACCTGTCGATCTCATTTTCGATCCCACTATCGATCTCACTTGTTGGGACACCACGAGACACCTCGAGGCACCACATCGATCTCAGTATCGATATCACTATCGATATCACTATCGATGTCCTTCCACTGGACACCACGGGACACTTGTCGTCCTCACTATCGATCTCATTATCGATCTCAGTCAACGGAACACCACGGGACACCTCGGGGCACAACATCGATCTCAGTATCGATCTCACTATCGATCTCACCATCGATCTCCTTCAACGGTCTCACTATCGATTTCACTATCGATTTCATTCAACGGGACACCACGGGACACCATGGGACACCGCGGGACACCGCGAGCCACCGCCGGACGGACTGACGGACGGGTTGGCGGGGAGAGTCATTTGTCTTGATCGCCACGGGACACCGCGGGACACCGCGAGCCACCGCCAGACGGTTGGACGGACGGGTGAGAATCATTTGTCTTGACTTCGCCCCGCGGCGGACACCACGGGACACCAAGGGACACCGCGGGACACCGAGGGCCACCGCCGGACGGACGGACGGAGGATAACCATTTGTCTTGACTTCGCCCTAGCAGCGGCGGGTTCATTCCTCTCGCGCGCCCACGCAGCTTCGCCTCGCCCGCACGCACGACACGAACGAAATGAAACGATTTCCCAGTTGGGGGTTTCCGCTCCATTGCGATCTCACCCCCCAACCTCGGATGTATATTGTCCCATGTAGACTTGCACAACAGCGATTGCACCACATATCTTGCACAGCATATATTCCACAACCACCATCGAGTGCATTACATACATTGCATTTCCTTGACTTGCAGCGCGTGGGTTTTCCCCCATCGACTCTCATTTCTAAACTGAGAATAAACCCTCCCCCCCTGGATTATCGACACCCCTTTTCTTCGTATCGCAATTTGCATATGACTCTGCCCTATCCTCTATCCTACATATGAATTTACAACATCCCAGCCCACACGGTATCGCACCCCCCGCCATCCTTTGCAACAGAAAAGTACGCGCGCGCATTCTTTGATCGAAACTGATAAGTTTCCAAGGATCCTTTTTGCACGAAAGACGAGACGAAGTGCACACGCGCGCGTCGTCGCGCGCGCATGCCGAAATTCTGTTCGGAAACATAGGTTTCTCAACGTGTCCATGGAATTCTGCCAAACGGGCCTCTCGCGCCGCATGCCGACATCATTCGCACGCCTTTGCTCGCGTGCTGGGGGAGCAAGGCCCGTGTCAAATCATGCGTAGCACCCCGCAGATGCGGATAAGAGTGAGGGGGCGGTGGGACGTCGGCAGTTTGCGAGACTCTGCAGAAGCCCGCCGCAGGCGCCAAAGTTTCACAACTTATACAATGAGCCCGCCGCAGGCGCCGATTTTTTCGTTCACTCAATGTGGGTCAGTCGCGGGTGGCTCGCGGGTGGGTCGCAAATTGGTCGCGGGTGGGTCGAGGGTGGGTCGCTGGCGTTTCGCGGGTGGGTCGCGGGTGGGTCGCGGGTGTAGAGGGCAAAAAAAAACAATTCCCTTAGTAATCACCCCCTTAGTAATCACCCCCCCTTAGTAATCACCCTGTTGAGTGAACGCGCACAATAAAGGAATCGAGCAAGGCAGGGGTGTGTAGTAAACGCCCATGGCCGTTTAGAACACTTCATTGTCGGGTCCGGGTGGTTTTTCCTCCCTTGAAGGTGTGTCGCGGGGTGGGTCGCGGGTGGGTCGCGGGGTGGGTCGCGGGTGGGTCGTGGGTGGGTCGCTGATGGGTCGCGGCGTGGGTCGCGGGTGGGTCGCGGGGTGGGTCGCGGGTGGGTTGGGGATGGGTCGCGGGTGGGTCGCGGGATGGGTCGCGGGTGGGTCGCGGGGCGGGTTGCGGGTGGGGTCGCGGGGTGGGTCGTGGGGTGGGTCGCGGGTGGGACAGCAAACAACAACAATAACAACAACAACAACAATATGTTCAAGACTGTTCGCCCTTATTTGCTCGAGTGTCCAATCACGCGTATTCCCCAAACCCTCTATACCCGCCCTCTTCGTCTTCAATCGAAACCTTTTTGGGTGGTATACGTTTGTTCCCTGCAGGCCGGGCCCCGGCAACCTGCGGGGCGGCCGCGGACCGTCGGCCTGGCCAGCGGCAGCGCTGAGCGGCGGGGCGGCCGCGGACCGTCGACCCGACCCCAAGAGGGACGGACAGGGGACCGACCACGACGACGACGACGACGACGACGACAACGACGACGACGACGACGACGACGGCGGCGACGACGACGACGACGACGGCGGCGACGACGACGAGCGAAAGCGAGAGCGAGAGAGAACGACACCAGGGCCACGAAGGACACGAAGTAGGCCACGAAGTGCAACAGCGGGGACACGAAGTGAATGTGTATGGGGCCACGAAGAGCGCGAACGAGCGGGGGCCACGAAGGGCAGATAATGCGGGTCCACAGAAGGCAGCGATGGGGTCACTGAGGGTTGCAACTGGGCCACGAAGGGCATGCACATGGGGCCACCACGGGCGCGAACGAGCGGGGGCCGCGAAGAGCACGCGTATGTTGGGCCGTGGAGGGCAAGGACGGAGCCACTGAGTCCCACTGAGGGCAGCAACGGGGCCACGAAGGGCAACGAGGGGGCCACGAAGGGCGACACCGGGGCCACGAAGGGCATGCATATGGGGCCACCACGGGCGCGAACGAACGGGGGCCCACGAAGGGCATGCACATATATATATATATATATATATATACACACACACCTATACGACCACCCTTCGGGTGATAAGGAGGTGAGGGGGGGGGGGGAGGGACCAACGTCGCACTCGATCGATCTCACTCTCGATATCACGATCGATCTCACTATCGATCTCACATTCGGTCTCACTATCGATCTCACTATCGATCTCCCATTCGGTCTCACTATCGGTCTCACTATCGATCTCACTATCGGTCTCACTATCGATATCACTATCGATATCACTATCGATCTCACAGTCGATCTCACATTCGGTCTCACTATGGATCTCACTATCGATATCACTATCGATCTCACAATCGATCTCACATTCGGTCTCACTATCGATCTCATTATCGATATCACAATCGATCTCACAATCGATCTCACAATGGGTCTCACTATCGATTTCATTATCGATTTCACATTCGGTCTCACGATCGATCTCACTATCGATCTCACTATCGATCTCACCATCGATCCCGCATTCGGTCTCACTATCGGTCTCACTATCGATCTCACTATCGGTCTCACTATCGATCTCACATTCGGTCTCACTATCGATCTCATTATCGATATCACAATCGATCTCACAATCGATCTCATTATCGATCTCACATTCGATCTCACAATCAATTTCACTTTCGGTCTCATTGTCGATTTCACTATCGATATCACAGTCGATCTCATAATCGATCTCACATTCGGTCTCTCTATCGATATTCCATCTGGTCTCTCTATCGATATCATCATCACCATCATCATCATCATCAGCACCATCATCATCATCATCATCATCATCATCATCAACATCATCCGTATCGATTTTGGCTCAAGTTGGAACCATTGCTCCGTGGCTCCAGCTTGGGGGCAGCCAAGGAGCAGATCGAGGGTTTTCGGCAGACAGGCTGCCTGCGGCTCTCCTTTTTCCCTTTCCCACAGAGTGCATACCCCTTCGGCCCTTTTCCCTTCTCAGCCGCGATGGCGGTCGATATGTCCGCGACCCAAGCCATGCTCGATGCCCAGCTTGCGAAGATCGAGAAAACCATAGATGATAAACTCGAGGCGAAGGTCTC